TGATCTCTAAATTCAGGTGGGATATATTCAAGGTCATATTTTGGCTCTCGTGGACTTGTTTTCATTTTCTTCAGTTTCAGTTTGAATTTGCTTATGAGTAATTGATGGTCTGTTCCACAGTCTGCCGCTGGCCTTGTTTTCACTGATGATATGAAGCTTTTCCATCATCTCTTTCCACAGATGTCATCATTTTGATTTCTATATATTCCATCTGGTGATGTCCACGTGTATAGTTGTATCTTATGCTGTCTAAAGAAGGTATTTGAAATAAACAAATCATTGGTTTTGCAGAATTCTATCATGCAATCTCCAGCATCATTTCTATCACCAAGGCCATATTTTCCAACTACTGATCCTTCTTCTTTGCTCCCAACCTTTGCATTCCAATTACCAGTATTGATCAATACATCTTGATTGCATGTTTGATCAATTTCAGATTGAAGAAGTTAGTAGAATTCTTTTATTTCATCCCCACTGGTTTTAGTGGTTGGTGCATTAATTTGAATAATAGTGGTATTGACTGGGCTTCCCTGTAGGTGCATGGATATTATCTTATCACAGACAGCGTTGTACCTTATGACTGATCTGGGTATGTTCTTTTTGACAATGAATACAACACCGTTCCTCTTCAGTTTGTCATTCCTGGCATAGTAAACCATGTGGTTATCAGATTCAAAATGGTCAATACCAGTCCATTTCAGCTCACTAATGCCTAAATATCGGTGTTTATATGTTCCATTTCATTTTTGACAAATTCCAATTTTCCCAGATTCATACTTCATACCTTCCATGTTCTGTTTTTCAGTGAATGTTTACAGCAGTTCCTCTTCATTTTGAGTTGTGCCCCATCAGCAAATGAAGTTCCTGCAGACTTTTCTCCCATGGGTTTTACTCCATTCACATTATCACGGTCAGCTCTACTTTGAAGAGGCAGCTCTTACCCAGTTGCATTTTGAGTGCCTTCCAAACTGAGGGGCTCATTTTCTGGCACTATATATGACAGTGTTTATCTGCTATTCATAAAGTTTTTAGTGACTAAATATTCGGAAGTAGTTTGTCAGTCCTTCTTTCTAGTCTGTCTTCATCTGGAAGCTCATCTGAAACCTGTCCACCATAGGTGACCCTGATGGTATTTAAAATACCGGGGGCATAGCTTTCAGAATCACAGAAACTCACAAGCCACCACAGTATGACAAACTGACAGATGAGTGGTGCATATATGTGTATAGGAAAGCTTATATGAACGAACATATGAGTACGTGCAAAGGTGTATCTGTAGGCATATGTATGTTTATGTTTGCTGCATATATGAGTCTTCTGAAGCTCATGGAAAAAATGGAATTAAAAGGTAGAAATAAAAAATATAAACCTTGTTTCTCAACATACACTCCCATCATTTTCAAGACACATTTTTAAGCAATGATATCAGCTGTTTAGTGCATCCCTATAGAAATGAGGAAAGGTATGTACCAGGGTTGTATTCTTTCACCACACTTGCACAATCTGTATGCTCAGCATATAATCTGAGAAGCTGGATTATATGAAGAATAACATGGCATCAGGATTGGAGGAAAACTCATGAACAATCGGTGATATTCAGATGATGAAACCTTGCTTGCTGAAATCAAAGAGGAGTTAAAATACTTACTGATGAAGATTAAATAGCACAGTATTCAGTATGGGTTGCACCCAATGTAAAGAAAACAAAAATCCTCATCACTAGAGCAATAAATAACATGGTAAATGGAGAGAAGATTGAAATTGTCAAAGACTTCATTTTGCTTGGATCCACTATCAACACTCATGGAAGCAGCAGTCAAGAAATCAGTGTATTGCATTAGGCAAATGTGCTGCAAAAGACTTCTTTAAAAGGGTTCAAGAGCAAAAATGTTGGTTTGAGAACTAAGGTGTACCTGACCCAAGCCATGGTATTTTCAATAGCCTCACATGCATGTGAAAGTTGGTCAGTGAATAAGGAAGACTGTAGAAGAATTGATTTGTTTGAGTTATGTTGTTAGAGAAGAGTATTAAACATATCATGGATTACTAGAAGAACAAATAAATCTGTGGTGGAAGAAGTACAGCCAGAATGCTCTTTAGAAGCCCAGTTGGTGAGACTTCATCTCTCATACTTCAGACATACTGTCAGGAAGGACTAGTCCCTAGAGAAGGACATCATGCTAAGTAAAGTGGCTGGTTTATGAAAGAGAGAAAGACCCCCAACAAGATGGATTGGCACAATGGTAGCAGCAGTGGGCTCAAATGTAACAATGATTGTGAGAATGGCACAGGACTGGCCAGTGTTTTGTTTTGTTGTGCATAAGGTTGTTATGAGTAGGAACTGACTTTATAGCACCTAACAACAACACCAAAGAACTGAGGATCCTAAGAACTCAATCTTGTCAGTGCAGTCTTTTTTACATTATTAACAAGAAAAATTAGTGCACCTTTAAAGATTTTTTTTAAGTTTAAGAAACAAAAAGAAGTCAGAAGGAACCAAACCAGGACTGTAAGGTAGATGCTTAATGATTTCTCATGGAAACACTAGAAAAATTGCCTTTGTTTGATGAGAGGAAATGAGCAGGAACATTGTCATGGTGGAGAGGGACTCTCTGGTGAAGCTTTCCCGGACGTTTTTCTGCTAAAGTTTTGGTTAATGTTCTCAAAACACTCTCTTAATAAGCATATGTTATTGTTTTTTGCCTCTCCAGAAAATCAAAAAGCAACATGCCATGAGCATCTCCCCCAAAAAGTGTTGCCATGACATTTGATCTACTTTTGCTTTGACTACAACACTTCCACCTCTTGGTAGCATTGCTTTGTTTGTACTTCACCTTCAGTATCTTACTGGTAAAGCAACATTTCATCTCCTGTTAGAATGCTTTAAAATCTTGTTTAAATTTTCCATTGAAATCTTTGCTCTTATCTGAAACTGATCTGAAGTGACAGTTTGGGCACCCATCAAGTTGACAGTTTGCGCAGCTTTAATTTTTCGGTCAGAATTGTGTAAACTGAGCCAACTGAAATGTCTATAGTGTTGGCTATTGTGTCTGTCGTTAATCTTTGTTGTTACCAACTTAACAAGTGTTGTTGAGTCAGTTCCGACTCAGGGATACCTTGTAGAGTTTCCCGAGAGTGGCTGGTGGTTAGTAGTCTAGTGTTTATTCTGTCTGTACTGCCACACTAAGACTCTGTTGGTCCTCTTCAATTAGGCCATGAACAAGATTAATTTTTCCTTGCAAACTGATGTGGATGGCCTGCCACTGAGAGCTTCATCTTCAACATCATCTTGTTCTTCTTCAAATGAGTTATCCATTTGTGAACTGCAGATTTCTTTGGGATATTGTCCTGGTTAATCATTGATTTTACCCTTCTTCCAGTCAAGTGTCATCATAAATTTGATGTTTGTTCTTGCTTTAATTCTAGCAGGATTCATACTGCTCTGACAAGACCTCTTTTCAAACTGATATCTTAATGTTTCTAGTGCCTCAAACTAGATCCTGTCCACACATGTTACAAAAAAATCAGTGCAAGTTTGTTTTGGTGTTTGGAAATTCTGAAATCCATGCATAGTTTTTTTCATAATGTACATTTTCCATGAACTTTTTGAAGACCTCTCATGTATTCGTATATATAATAATGGACATAGTTGTAAATACCCCCAAGTTTCTGTCAAGTAGAATTTGCATTTCTAGCAAGTTCCCAAGTAACACTGAGTACCTTGGAATCCATCTTTTGGTTAATAGTTGAGCGCTTGACGGTTTGTTTTACTCACAGATTCCTGTGAACAATCTATTATTGTTGTTATGTGCCATGAATCAGTTCTGACTCATAGTGATCTTGTATAGAATTTCCAAGGAGCAGCTCGGTTTGAATCACTGACTTGTAGTTAGCAGTCCAGTGCTTATCCTACAGCACCACACCAGGACTCCACTATCTAGTAGTGGTATTCCAGTGCTATTACGGTCTGTGGCTATTGGTATCTACCTCACTTTGGGGCCTCTGATCTCTGTATGGACTTGTTGTAGCATCAGCACTGAACTGCGAATCACAAGGTCAGCAGTTCACACCCACCAGTGGCTCCTCGGAAACTCTACACAGGGTTGCTGTGAGTTTGGAACCGACTCACCAACCCTTAACAACAATAACAAAAACCCCTGTTCACTATTTGCATTTATTGCTAGAGAGATGTGGCTTTTTCCCCCCTTTAAGCATGAGTTATTGTATACGATTTCTTGGTTGAGGCTTAGAAAGTGTCACACAGCAGGTCAGCTTTGATGGTGTGTCCTGGAGAAAGTCTGAAGAAAGTCAGGCCTGGGCATAGGGACAAAGAGAAATGCTGTGGAGGACATAGATGGACATTAGAATCTAACTCTCCTTGCTTAGGAATTTATCCTTAGACCTCACTTTAGTTACCTGGTGCTGCTGTAACAAGTAGCACAAATTGGGGGCTTTAAAGAACAGATCTTTCTTTTTTCACAGCTCTGGAGGCATTCAGTCTGAATTCAGAATGTCAGCTCTAGGGAAAGTTCTTTCTTTGTCTCTTTCAGCTTCTAGTAGCTGTAATCTGTTCTTAGGTGTCTGGACTTACCGATGCATCCGTCTCTCTCTGCACATGACATCTTCACTGTGTGTCTTCCTCTGTGTCTGTTTTTCTTTTTGTAAAAGACCATTCAGAAGAGATTAGGTTTAGGAATCCTGCTCTGGTATGACCTTATTAACATAGCAAAAGAAAAATTCCTATTTTCAAACAGGGTTGCATTCATGTTGTTGTTGTTGTCAAGTGCCCTTAAGTTCTAATTTATAGCAACCCTGTACAGTGTTTTCAAGGAGCTACTGGTGAGTTTGAACTGCCAACCTTGTGGCTAGCAGTCCAGAGCTTATCCTACAGTGCTATACCAGAACTCCATAGACACAGGGATTAAGACTTCAACTTACCATTTTGGGGAGCACAAGTCAATCCATGACACATCTCTAAGTACTTGTTTGTTTTCTCTCAGTTTTGAAGGACTCTATAGATGATAAAAGCAGTCCACAAGTGGAATCCAGTGATGGCCATGCAGAGACTTCAAGCAACTATCCTGCTATTACTGAGAAAAATTGGTGAGTCTTATCCATAAATTCCTACTCTTCACCTCAGGTATTCTTTTCCAATGGTCAGTGAAAACAAAGTTGGTGAGAGTGGAGATGAAAAGTGTTTCCCACCAGATTCTCCCATATCAAAGGTCATGACTCCATAAAAAGCTTTATTCTACAGGCAACTGGAATAGGATCCTGTTCACTGGATTCTCTTCGTTTGGTCTCATTAGGTTAAAGCAATATGGCGGCAGAACAGGGGGTGGAGGTGTATTATTTGTAATATTTGTAGACATTTTTGGCTATTACAACTTAGGTTGGTGGAACTTTTTGCTACTGGCATCTAGTGCCCAAAATGCAACTAATGTCAGTGTTGAGAAACCTTGTATTTAAGCAAAAGAAAACCCATTTCCATTGAGTTGGAAGTCAAGTACTTTAATCACTGATCCTCCAGGATGTCTCAGCTAAAGAACTGTTGTTGTTGTTGTTAAGTGTCATCCAGGTGGTCCTGACTCACAACTACTCTGCATAAGTTTCCAAGAACAGCTGGTGAGCTTGAACCACTGACCTTGCAGTTCAAACTGACCTTGCAGTCCAGTGCCTTATCTTACAGCACCACACCAGCACTCCTAGCTAAAGAATTTGTTGGTGTTGTTAAGTGCCGTCAAGTAGATTCCAACCCATAGCGACCCTTTGTAGGGTTTCTGAGGAGTGACTGGTGAATCTTGAACCGCCAACCTTTCAGTTCAAACGGCTTTGCAGTCTGGCACATTAACCCACAGCACCACACCTAAAATCCACAGGTTCTAGTTAAATCTAGGTGTGCATCACCTAACATATACAATACATTCTGTGATTCCAAGAAAGAGGACGTTATACAATTTGGACATTCTGTGAATGCCATATTAAAACCTTATCAGATCCCACTTCCAGTTGTCCTTGTCACTGCTGTTGCCAGAGCTGTTGGCAGAGGCCAAGGAATAAGTGGCACCAGCAGCAGCTGAGAGGGTAGCGATGGGAATGGAGAGAGAGGAAGCAAACAAAGAGGGAGCACAGTGCGCCCAGCCTTGCCCAGTGTTGCACCCATCGCTGCCTGCTTGCTTGTCAGACAAAACCTGGACAACCTGTGTCCAGAGCCATCTCCACGACATATTATCCTACCCTTGGTCCAGTGCTGCAGGAGTTGGGTTTGAAGTCTTTAAAACCATTAGAGGGATGTCATAGACAAAAAAAGAGCTGCTTTCCCTTTA